ACCGTGCGAGTCTGTGCACAGACGAGAAAAATCCCGGAAGCTATCACGAGAGCGAACGAGAAGCCTGCGAAACGTTCTATATCTCTTCCCGCGATTATTCATCTCGTCAAATCTTCATCTAATAAATATTCATAAATATTTATCTCCAGATAAGACGGCTTCGTTTGAGAAACGCCAGTGAGATTAAAAGAAGGAAAATCAAGGAACCGATAATCCGTCTCTTCGGATCCTTATTTATCGGATTAGAGCTGCTAAAGACGCTATTTATCGGATTAGAGACGCTTGCACCGTTTAAAAAAAGATCGAGACGACGCTAACGACCTTAAATTAAGCGTCAGAGATTAACGCGAGCGCTAATTGAATACGAAAAAAATGCCAAATAAACGGCGCCGCACCGTAAATTGATTCCGATTGCGAAGTTCAAGTCTCGTTGAAGTCTTCGTCTTCGCGCACTTTTCGCCACGTCAGAGATCCTCGAGCAGACACGGCCACTTAACACGGTCGCTTAACCGTCGTTGCTTGGACATTCCAATGATAAAAATTTGCTTCTATGTTGCATAATCTTTTAAAAGCGTTTTGCATTCTTAATTTTTTAAAAATGATAATGATTTTATTTTCTTTCTTCTATCAAGAACGGTTTTTCTATACATATTCTTCAACTTTGTAAAACTGCTGTTTGTTAAACCGCTTGCTTGTTAAAATGTATGAATTGCATAAAACTCTGATCATAAGCTGTTGCATTTTAATTGACAATATTAATTAAACTTTTCATTAGATTTTTCTAGTCGTTAAAAAAGTTAGTAATTACAAGGAATGTGCAATTTTTCCTGTACAGTTTTAAATGGCCGGATATTGAAAATAAGTTTCATGTTCATGTTTCTGTGAAATTCTTTTTCTTACATCGTCTGTTCTTTATCTTTACTCAACAAAACATGATAATTGCAACGATTCAAAACATTTCTCCGTATCTCTAGTATGTAGGAAATTCATAGAAATAATATAGACACTACTTCTAAATTTCTAATACAATAGTAAAATCGATCGCGCAATCAACAATCAAGCAAACATAATTGATAAAAGATTCTCATTCATTCATTCATTCATTCATTCCCAAGCCATATCTCATTCTATTGAATTGTTAAAATTCTACCACTTCGAGTTTCATGCTCCGACATTCGTAACATTCGAGTAAAGATGCTGGAGCGCGAGGGAAGATGTTGTTGAAGGAGCGTAGAGGGCCGCGAAATCCAGGACCGACCCGGCTTATCAAGCGCGGACCTTACTACTCGCGCGCACGATCAATGCATGAATGGAGCACACGCAGGGTACCCACACGCGCGCAGCGTGACGAGGCGCACGCAACACATACGTACGTACATACAGACGCACGCACGCACGCACGCACGCACGCACGCACGTACGTACGCTCGTCGCCGCTGCCGGCGAGTGAGAGGATCCTCACCCTGAATACCGTCCGTCGCAGCGATCGGCCGCGAGCGAAATTGCTCGCGGATGCGAAATCGTCGATGCGAGATCGCGCGCGAGCTGTCACGCGACAGTCATAAATCCGCGGTAAATCCCGGATCGAGCCAGACCGGGCCGCGCCACGCCGCGCCGCGAATTTGACAGCTTCGGAGCGAGCCAAAGTCGCGAAGCGAGCGGGGATGGGAGAAGATAGGGCGAGCCTTGCGTCTTGTATATCGATAAAATAACTCACCGACGCCGTACTTGGTGGTTTTCGTGGTTGTCCACATCTCGAGGACCGGACGATGCGACGCCGACGACGTGGACCGGCGGCGATAGCTACATACCAGAGCGACGCGTCCGGTGTCGCGTGCACGTTACACTCAACTCGCGTGACGGCGACCACAACGATTTTCGTTATCACGAGAAATATGAAAACACAAACATTGGGTGTGTTTAGCCGCACGAGTGTCGAACACTGCGCCGCGACAACGACGGGTGGCCGTAACGAGCAACGTTGCCGGTACGGGCCGCGAGCCACGGCTGACTGACGGCAACGCCGCCGCCCTCCCCCGCTAAGGCCGGCCGTGACAGCGTGTCACGTGGTACGCCACGAATGCACGAAGTAAGAAAACAACTAGAGGCACTGCTCAAGTATCATTACAGACCGATTATTCTACGGAAGTTGCATGACTGCCACAATTTGAATGGTTAGTTTGTAATGTAGAATTAATTTTATAATTTATTATTAACCGCAGTTGTAAATCAAGATAATTACACAAACGTAATAAATGTAAAATTATACTTTATCTATGGCAAGTGAGATCTTACTTCAGAATTAATTCAGACACACGCGTGTTTAAAAATATTTCTTTAAAAAAAAGGATATAAATATAAATCGATAATTTAATATTTACATAATATTATTGGTATTGATAAAAATTTATTTCCATTTATCATAATATATTGTATATTGCAATCTCTATTAGAATATTATGATAATAGTAATGTTAATAAATATATATAAAATTTTGATCTTTGGAATAGAACTGTTGAATGTTACGATTTGTTTTATCTTATTCCTAATAATTACATCTTAATATTTTGTCAATTTTTAAATCTCTGTATTTAAAACTCCTGAAACTTAAATTTTTAGAAATGCTCGAAGTTTTTGAAATTCTTGACAAATTTTTAAAATTTTAGGCAATATAAATGTCTCTTTGAAATTTTTGAATCGCAGTTGCACGCCGAATCCACCAATCAGACAGCTGTACACAACGATGATTGCGCGGGACCCCATAAAAATGTTATGGGAGTTTCCTTTCTAGCCGTTATCCTCGGATATGTCAGATGGTTAAAAAAATCACTCAGAAACGGTTACCAACGGTCGTAATCACGTTTCGTCGTCCGAGTCATCGGTTTCTGAGTCTGAATCGTCTGTGGTCCAGGATTTTAACGAAAGGATTAAAACAACAGGATTCACAAGGATGCGGCCGGACTCGCGCAGTGTGTCGTTTACATTTCACCGGGAAGTGGTGAATTCACGAAACTCGCCGGAGATAGTACGAAGAACGCGGAATCTTCGCCAGCGTTTACAGGATCGATTCGAAAAGGACCGTGGATCGACCAGCGGCGATAATGCGAAGGAGAAAACATCAAAGGCAAAGGAATCAACTGAACGGACCTGGAACAACATTAGCCTGGGCAATGTGTCCGCGGACTCGAGACGAGCGCTACGAAACGGTGCCGAGAAGCTGTCCAGAACGATATCCTCAGTGCGCATCACTTTTGGCACGATATCCCAGGTAAGATGAACAAATATTTAATCAGAATTAATTTTATTTAAATTACAAAAAATCCTGATTCCAATAGAACTGGAAAATTTTAATTATGTAATTAAAAAAATGTTTAACTTGTGTGCAAATAGAAGTGTGATGATATTGTCTTAATATAATTCTGATATATTCTCTTATCATTTAGTGTAACTTTGTTGTTAATTGATAAAAAGAATAGATCTTATCTGTTGAAAATTTTTTACTGTTTCATTACAAATATCTGAAATATATAAGTTTAATGTTATAATAAAATAATTTTGTATATGAATTAAGAATAATGAAACAAGTCAAATAGGTGAAATTTAGATATAAAAAAATTCTTTCCTGTTTATAGAAATTTAAGAGTTCCACACGAAGACGCCAGCGACTGGAGGAACAGCAATCTCCATCCAACATGCAGACACCTCAGACTCGTTCCCGGCAGCTTTTAGGTCGAACGCCAACCAAACTCTACAGCCCTTTTGGTATCGAATCGCCAAGACACGCCTGGAACAAGGAGAATGAAATTAGTACACCAGTACGTGCTTCATCACCAGAATGCAACATGCGTTACTGCAGACCATTTCGTTTCACAAAAGTGAAAGGATTCTCCATGCTGAGATAAGAGGAATAGCCTCCTTGTCCTCCAAATTACTGCAATCGATCTCTATTTACTTCGAAGCAATCAGGTTTGCGTGCCTTGTGTGCAACAACATTTATATCAAATATAATTTATTTACGTTTAATCGCAAGGGACTCACCACGAGCAACGCAAGTCTGTCATCGAATCAACAATGTCTTTTTTAACAAGTAGTATATGTAAAGGTACAATACTAGCGTACCTTATTGATATTTATCATTCCATATCGCTTTCTTCGCGTGCGTATATCGCAAACACTTTCTACTTTTTTACACGTATTTATATATACATATATGCCTAGATTTGCGCAATAATATACATGACATATGGCAGGGCCAATGCTTGTATTTAATCGCACATCGAAACGCTGGAAATTCATATGACAAAAATCTTGAATCTGTTCGCGCAAATGATTAAAAATATGTATTGACGCGACTTGAAGATTTTTTGCCTTTATACGTGCGAAACGCAAGAAGTAATTTCTTGGGCAAATTTTTATGATATTAAAAAATGTATTAAATTTGTTACATTATTAACTAAGAATATTAACGCAATCGTGTTGAATTGTGATTACTCATTTGGGGATGGATAGAGATGATCTCTCTGCATGAGATAAACAAATGCACGTTTCTTTGATTAATGTTAAATTTTGGCTAGATTATATTTTGTCTCTGCTCTTCCCAACAGGATTGTCGTGAAATATTCTTGGTTGCATTTTATTTGATATACATATATATCGATGTATGTGTGTGGTGTGTGTGTGTGTGTATTATATATATATACACACACACACACACACACACGACACATATATTCTAATACCGAAAGTGATTCTCGAGAATCGCTCTAATGATGAAGATAAAGCAGCTCCGATACCGGCCTCGATATAGCCCTGCTTTCAAGCTACTACATATCTAATTCTAATTTATATTTATTGGCACGTAATAACAATTTTTACAAAAACACGTGGTATGTATTTTAATTGAACCAAAAGCTCGGAACCCTTTAGAAATACGTCTTTGAACCGTTCTAACCTTCGCGACATCATGGCGGCCGCTTGCAGTGTGTAGTTCGCAGCGCGAACAACTCGATTGTTTGCCGCGCCTTATCTGAATATCGCGCGGTGCGTTTCGTCTTCTCCGACCGCGAAGAGGGACGGAGGTACACGTGTCTGCCCGTATCGAAATTCATCATTTCTTTGCTGTTACTTCCGTTGAATTCGCGAGTGTTTTGCGAGTTCGTGGATGATAACCTAATTAACGATAATCGATCCGCCGCAGCTTCGCGTCTCTAGTCGTGACTTGATTTTTTCTTTTTTAGGTTACGGTTGTTCTAACCGAGCTCTCCGGGACGTATCGACGTTTACGCTAATTCCGGCCGATCTTCACGATCAACCGAAAAACTTGACGCCAACTCCCGAGCCATCCTACATATCGCGCCAACGATCGCTCGCGCTCGCGCGCATTCCCGCGTTGCATACGCTGTGTGTATGTGTGTGTGTGGTGTGTGTCGCGCACGTATCCCATCCGAGCGTGGAATGCGCCGCAGTGGCGGTTGAGAAGCGACATCGTGAAAC